AATCATTTCTTTTAAATAAAAAAAAAATTAAATACAAAATTGTGAACAATCCCCGAACTCCAAAAGCTTAGTACCACGAACAAATTTGGTTAAAAATGGGGAGCAAGCTTTTGCATTATCATCGTATTTGGCACGGTAAGATGGCCGCTGGTGGCTTCAAAGAAAACACCTGCATGTGCTGATAAGGCCAATTCTGTGGTATGAAGTCCGTGGCAGTTCCTACCAAATGAGCCTCTGTTGCTCGGAAAATCGCTCCTTCTTTTGGTAGTCTGGGAGCGAATAGATGCCTTGATATTCACCAAGTACAGTTACACGGTATTACTCTGCTTGAACTTTTCGCGCCAAATCTGATTCCCTTGTTACTATTTCGAAGTTCCTCTAGTTGAACATTTTAGATAAATATATGAAACGAGCATTTGTAGTTTGGGGACCCAAGTTGGGTACCCGGTAGAGGCGTCGCCTCTGAAGCGAGTGGTCCCGGGTTCGAATCCCGGCCAGGGAAACCTGCGCTGGGCAGGAGTTCCGTGGTACCTCGTCTAGGTAACTAAATAAAATAAAATAAAATGGAAATTTTGCTCTTTTTTACTCCCGCAAATAGACGTTAAAAAAGTAAAATCACTACTTGAGTCACTGCCGGGATTCGAACCCAGGACCTCGTGCATGAGCGTCAGAGTGCCTTACCACTAGGCCAACACGCTCTTCTTACATCAAGAAGGTTGGAAGAAATATTTAAACATTCTGTCTAAGTAGTTTAAAAAAAATAATAAGTTAGCGCGCATGCGCCCTTACGATATCAAGATTCCCACCAGATGATTGGCCGACTCAATATTAGGCGCGTATGCAGGATCGTGGACTTTGCTTTCCGTGATTTCACCATGTAGAGAACGACTCGAGAACAAAACACAAACTTTGGCCAAATTTTGTCAAGAAAATAAGTTTCACGCAGTTTTTTTTCTAACATATAGCTTTAGTGGAGCTGGCTGTGCGCAGCGATGTCTGTGCACAAACTTATTGAAAACTGATAACATGTACGGCTATTAGCTAAATGCACGTTTACGTCTGCATTCTAAAACGCTGTGTTACAAAGCAAACACGGCAAAGACCCAATATTAGTAACTAAGCATTTTGGTTTGCTTCGTGTAAACAACGCAAAACGCGTACGTGTGTGAATGAGTTGCAGATGAATTTTGCTGAGGCTATGCAATGTGTCAGTTAGGAGCAATTTAGCTGCATAAACCCCTAACGTTTTGAACTGGATGGGTTGACATGCATTTCAGAATACTTTCAGGATGAGGCCAGCAAACCATTTAAAATAATCCCATTGTAAGGTTTAAGATGACACAGGCATTTTTTTTCCTGTTGAACCAGCGACGGCTTATCACTACCTAACAGTTTGGGCATTTGGGTTGAAAATTTGTGCTGAAACTCCAGTTGCTCTTCCAAACACATTCATTATGTTTGAAGGCTAGCTGCAATCAATGCTTTTGATACAAACCTGTAAAATGCACCTTTGTGCCTCAGTAAACCTTATTTTCAACCTTGGTTTCACAATTTCACAGGGTCTTTTCATGCTTTTTTTGGTTTCCATATTCATGAGCAAAACTGTGATGTCATCTCAGGAAAAAGCCTCCATGTTACATTGGTTTGCACACAATAAAGTCCTGCACTTTTGTAGATTTTCCTGGACTAAGTTTTCTCTTCTTTGCTGATTCTTTTTGTTCATGTGTACGGCAATAAGAAACCATTAATCCCATCTTCCACAGATCCATTCCACAGCAGTTGTCAATTTTCCGTCTGATTTTCTGCGGCTACGTCTTCCTGTGTGGCGTTGTTAAAGTTGGCACACCGCCTTCCCTCGAGCTTGCTCAAGCAGATTGAAGGAGCGACATCGCGGCTCTGCTCGGCACGCCTCCATCACACTCCAAGATGCCTGTAGCCGCTAACTCTTTCATGACGTGACCGACGAGACACGGGGCGGTGGTCCGACCGTCTGGGCCAATCTCAAAGCAAGGTGTCGGGTTGTAGTTGACGACACGGAGATCGCACATCGAATATCGCCGATTTGAGCACAACTGGCCATCCCAGCTTCCATTCTCAAGCATCAAAGCACAATGAGACTGCAAACAATTATCGGGTTGCAATGCTGCCCAGTTCTGGTAGGCGTTTGTCTCGTCACCTCTGAGTGGGCAGTTTTCCCACTGCCCCTCATGATCGATATCACTGCAACTGATCCAGACACCATTCCATCCAGGGGGCAACTTCAGCTGAGATAACTGCATTACAAATGCCTGCTCTACTGAGGTATGACTTGGCTTATTTCTCCTGGAATACATGTAACGCTAATTCGAAAAATGTACCGTTTTGCCTCACACACCTCCCTCACCTTGGCTTCATATATCAAGCAGACCTCCATTTGACCATTTTGTCATAATTTAACGAAGACCAAATTAGAGATTGAAAATAAGAAGTGCCGTTGTTCCCAAACATCGTCAGCTATTGCCAAGGTGACAGGACCGCGTCAAAAGAACGTGACAAAGGCCATTCGCAAAGCAATTTCCCAAACGGCCCGAAGGGGCCTTTGTCAACATACGCAGTAAGGTAACTTGGCTTCACATGGTTTTTTAACTGATTTTCTTTGCCAAGACCATTATCACACAGTTGTTGAATACTGAATTTCATTTGGCTACATTACTGTTGTCGTCTAAATAACAACATGACAATGGAGTTCAGCTCATTTGGAACAATTGCAACAACGTGTTCATTTCTTTGATTTCGTAACAATAACATTAGCGTCCCTCTAGATATAACTTACATTTTTTTAATGATTCGTTTTGTCCTTGTAAACAGTCATCGAGTAGGTTTCTTTGGACGCAACTGGGTACTGCTTCACTACATCTATATCATCTCGTGATTCGTTACACACGCCAACGCGCTGAATGACGATTCTTTATTCTGATTGGCTAAGACAGTCACGTGGGGTGGTCGGGGCGATGCGTGAAATCAATCAACCGAAGTGAAACTATACATGTGTCGTTTATGAGCATTATATTTCATATTATATACAGCGATACGGCTTACTATATTACACCATTTAAGTTATATGTCACACTGTTAATCTGGATCGACCAATCAGAATTGATAAGTCAAGTTTGCTTAAACCTGCTACGGAGTTTTGTGTGCGGTGCTATGCAACCAATGTGCAAACATTAAGACAGTAAACAAGTTTCACTGTGTATGTGTTTGCAATTTCCAGTTGGACGAAAGATGTAATTCACACCAACCCAAAACCTTACAAAATTGTTTATACTGACAATCCCCAGTCATATACATGTTGCTCTAAGTAAACACGTGATATGCGTCAACACTTAACCAGAATGTGTGAAGCACCAAAGGACACTGGTATGTCTCAAATTCTACCGTAACACAAAACGCAGTGTCTCTGAATCAAATCTAATGGCTGTAGCCTGTAGTTGCGAGTTACATACCGTCTAGAGGAAACGGCTTCCATAGATGCACATGTTAGTGTTAGCCGCAGCAATGACTTTCTGACATAGTGATACAGTGACTGCACAATTTGGACAAATGAGAAGTACGCTTCATGTTTCTGACTCCATACGTTTGAAATGATAAATCACTCATAAATTGAGATGATATTCAGTTGCTTTACAGTTTCTCGGGCAGAAATACAAGGCAAACTTTTTATATTTCTTGCTTGAAAGAAAACACACACCACAAACGATTACGGTGACACATTGCTGCAGGTAGCACTCATTACGTTATGGCAATTTTCTCCCTGAATGACCGAAAGATCAACAGGTTAAGCTAGTCTAAGTATCGTAATGCACACACACAGCACTGCAGGCTGCCCCAACAACTGTTTTTTCAGCTCTGCCAATCACAGTACAGTGTACACAGAAAGATGAACCATCTCTGCTTCAATCAACCAATGAGATTTCAGATGTTTGGAAGCCAATACCCATCCCCATACCATGTCTCAGGACTTGCTTCCGGTCACCAGTCATTGAAGAAATTTAACGTGATTTGTTTAAAGTCAGGTTTTGGTTCATGAGGCACTCCATATTTTTTTTACCTCTAGCCCTAAAAATATAAAGACAATTTGTTCTGAAAAATGCTAATGTAGCCTTTCCTTTTCATTGTCACAACTTATATACCAAATATGAATATCACGTTTTGGATGAAAAAGCTGAGTGAAACCCAATGGGGAAGGGGGGTCCATGCCCATCATGTGCGCGCATGACCTGTGTGCTGTGTGCCTGTTCCATTCTTTAAAAAGGGGTGCACAAAACCATTATAACAGAGATTACTTCATCTTCTGATAACTACCTATTATTTAACCCTAAAAGAGCCTGGGTGGGGGGACCCCATTGACGTTTCTTTATATCGTTGTAGGGGATATTTTCTATCATATACAGCCTACAGCATTTTTTCAAAAAATAACATCATGCAGTCATTTTGACAGCAGCATGTGAAAACCAAACCTGCTGTTAACTCACAGTGCTTATTTTTCAGACAGGTCAACCCAAAAGTACACCTCTAAGCTGATGTACTCAATGCACATAGCCAGAGGCTACGAACTTTAAATGATCCTAACAAAACTATATGATCAATTTACTTTCCATTTGTACTGGATGCCCCGATGATAGAATGAGATCATTCTACATGTACATATCACCACGCTATCAACACAGAACATGTTGCATGTGTAGTACTTAACTTGGAAAAACAACATGAGTAAATGCCATGAGACGAATGACAGTGCAGTGCCTTCACAAAACTAGTACACAATGCCACCAACCCGAGAATGACACCCTCCCACCTGACACCCTCCCACCTGACACCCTCCCACCTGACACCCTCCCACCTGACCACCCTCCCACCTGACACCCTCCCACCTGACACCCACCCACCTGTGTGGGAGGGTGGACTGACCCTCCCACCTGACACCCTCCCACCTGACACCCACCCACCTGACACCCTCCCTCCTGACACCCTCCTCCAAGTTTACTCAAGTGCAGCTTCTATGTGAAATGATTGATCATGACACACTCGCACAGACATGAAGAAACTGAAAAAACATTGCACCGTACATTGGCAACTGGCAATAAATTGTAAACCAATATGAAGAATATGGTTATCACACCAAATAAATAGCACCCTCTATTGAGCAGTTTTTATTTGGGCTGGACACGCACAAGTAGAGCATAGGGTACAATTGCAGAACGTTCCTTTGTGAACCACTCAATCTTGCTATTCTCGATGTACGGATCAATATTGTGATTGACTCCTATAGTCTGAGGTCCCGTTGTGTAGCTATTGGGACGGACACGTACCTGAAACGCGACACTGGCATTATAGACTTGCTTTGTCTTAGGATCTGTGAACCTGTGGACAAGAAATAACCGATGTTGGTTTGAAAAGTGGATTGGAAAACAGAGCAGGATTTAAAAAATTTACCTCACAAATCAAATCACAAGTAGGGTCAAAATGACGACTTGAGATACCTTGTGATTTGGCTCAGGATGTCCCGTTTTTGGCTTGAGATATCTTGTGATTGGTTTATGATGTCTTGTGACTGGCTTGCAATGTCTTGTGATTGGCTTGAGATAACTTATGATTGGTTTATGATGTCTTATGTTTGGCTAGAGATATCTTGGTTTACTATGTTTTACTGGCTTGTGAAATCTTGTGCCTCTTGATTAACTCTTTCCTTCACTTAAAACAGGCATTCCCTGACTGTCTCAAATGAATTCAGCCAACTTAAAGCCTCCTTAGCTAGCCCCTATCCTTTAAAGTAAAAAAACGATGGAATTCACATTTACTTTTGTTTTTTGGCGTAGACATTGCAGCCTGCATAATTCATGGATGGAGAGATGAAAATCTGCTTGGTGTCAAAGTCTTTGGGTTTGTGTGAATCGTTGAAATGGCCTGGCTGCTCTGTCAGTTGGTCCCCACCAAGCGCAATATCACCTGCAACAACCAATACACACAAACCAAGTCACTTTGGAATTGTGTTCAGATCTCCCAAGATTGCCCATCGGTCATTTCTAGAGTAAACAGGTGAAATAAAATCCTTCATCCTTATCCTCCAAACTCCTTTGAAATCCAGCAAGCAGTTTTGGGGACTTCTTCAATGCTTCAACAATACCGTGATTCATAGGGCTGTGTCGATTATTGAATATTCAAAAATAATTTTCCAAATTTCAATATTCGAATGCAAAATTCCTGACAAGGGAGAGTTTTCTTTTGTTTTCAGTGAGAAAAATTGCACTATGGAGGCTTGTTTCAAGCAGATAATAAGTGACAGAAATCTTACAACGATTCAAGAAGTAAATTATTCATTAAAAAAAGTAAAAGGAATAAAAATGTTCAAAAGGGCAAGAAGTCTTGTTCATCTCTTAATTCTTGCTAAATTGTGGCTGGAGATACTCCTAGACGTGAGAAGCTGTTATAGAGATTACAATGTACATTGTGTGCATTATTGCAATTGATTTTGCATATGGTTTCGTCAACAATCTGCCGATTGGTAAGACCGGATATTTGATTGAATTGAAGGTCGAATATTCGCATAGCGAATAATTTGAATTGACTCAGCCCGAGTGATTTGGGAGTGTTCTTTATTTTTTAGCTTACCAGGTAAAAGCAACGTGCCACTGTCCAATATCTTTCTGACAGCCCCTGCTTTGGTTCCATGGAAAGCCACGTGCCACAAGTCAAAGACATTCAAGGTCTCGGCACGGCTATGCAGTCTGGAAAGCAAACAAACATACTTATGACTAAATTAATCCTAAAAATCCTGTCATCAAAGCAACAGAGGTTTAAGCCTCATGTGACAATGAAGGGAAATCAACTCAGTAGGTGTTCACTAAAGAATCCTTTGACCAACTGGGAAGGGAACAGAAAATAAAACGGCACTTACTTGATGGCAAATTTACACCATCCAAAGGGGCGTGTGTAACGTTGCAGTGGATCTCCCTGGTCCCCGTATTCACTGGTGCCCTGGTACTTACGGCATGGCTCACAGTAGCACTTGTTGAATTTTGGATTTGTTTCAAAGTGTGCATCTAAATGTATAAGGACAAGTAAATTATGGGACATGTGCGACCTATCTACATGGACCAACTGAATTGGTTTGTAAAACTGAAATTAACTTTAAGATTGAGGTAAAGTAGGACACGAGACATGACATGTGAAACACAGTCCTCAATATCAAGACATGTCTGTGTCTCTAAGGTTACAGCATTAACCACTAAACAACTCTCTCTCACTATAACCTTGTCTTATGTATCTACATGTCTGCCTGTGTCTCTGTGTTAATCAGCATGACCCTGTCTTAACCCTCATGTGCTTACCGTGTAACCCCAGTGTGATCTTGAAGCGAAGACAAAGCTTCTGGTATTCACATATCCGACCGCTTCCCCCAAGGGCATACAACGACTGAGGTGTGTTCTCTTTTAATCCTGCTGAAAAAAAACAAAACAAAAACAAATCTGGATCCAGTGAGGAGATGAATACATGCCACATTCACTAGCATCTTCGGAACACACTGTCCATCTGAGATAAGTTTTAAGTAAGGTTGAATATGAATGACCGTGTCCAAGAGTCACGAGATATTGTAACCGCTTTTCTTTGGGGATTCACACACCGTCTGAACAAGGCCCAAAACGCTTGTTCTCCAGTCCAGTAGCTTTAGGCCTTTATTGCACCTCCAGAACCAGTCAACACACAGAGAGTTTTATGAAAATCCACAAGCAAATCTGAATCTCGTTCTGTCACATCTGCACTGGATAGAACAACAAACATGTCTGCCAGAACTGGCGCAAAAAACCCACAGGTCAGAGGAAAATCCCGAAACTGCTACTGCGCTGGCACCACGAGGGCAGGCCCTAAAAGCCAATCAGCAGGGCCCGGCACGGACTTATGGAGGCACACCAGCGCCCCCACCGGTCTGTCGGTGCCGTCGCTACAATTTGTTTATCCACAAGGACAATCGATTTTCAAATTTGTTTAGGGATCATGATTTTTTTTACCATTTTCAAAAGCTGCTTTTTCTCTCTCTTCTTGCACGCCTATTGCACCCAATTCTTCAGTTACTATGGAAACCTGAAAAAAAAAACACCAAAAACAGAGTCAATAACTGTGCCTTTAATACTCAATATTTTATGATGTCATAACAAACATTTAAATGTCATGCTCCTTGAAGGTCAAACTAAGACCAGATCTATAACATGAATTTTCAGGTCCTTTTTGTCAACTCTCCTCACTTCTTTACACTGTCCATACAGGTCCACCAAAGGATAGCAGGGATTAGGAATGTGTTCAGCAATGACTCCATGATCTCTGCCGTAGACATAGAGATGAAGCTGGCCTTGTGCGTCAACGAGAACTCCCAACGTATCGCCTTCCTTTAATTGGTCCAAGTTGGGTCCATTGAAGGTACGCACCTACACCCATGGGGATACAAGGAGCACTCTCAATGCAGAAGAAAGTTCACCAATCAAAGCTGAGCTTTGACACCTCCCAAAAGCAACAGAATTGTAAAATCTTACCATCTAAAGGTTTCACGTACTTGGATAAAAATTTTCTTCCCAAACTTTATGTCAACACTTCTGGTTCTAGTTGATATTTAGGGTTGTTAAGACCTTCCATGTGGGAAGCCTCATACCTTTTATTATTCAAGCAGAAGTCAAACACACTGCCTTCTGCCCTCTCATGCACTCTGTAACTCCTAGTTGAGTGAAGCAATAATTACCTTGCTCATGGACACAAACACCGACCCACTGCAACTCCATATCTATGGGGTGACCTACAAAACCTCAACTTTGGTAGACCAGGCTGCGTACCTTGTTACTGTTGTGAAAAACTGCATCTCCTTGAACAATCCACGTTCCTTTCTTGATGTTAGAGGCAGAAGCAGGGAACCCTAATCTCTCTGGTGACTGATTTGTCACTCCAATCTTGACAGAGGACGTCCACTCATCTGTCACCTTTTCAAGTTTTATCTATGCAAAAGGAAAACAACGCTCAGATTATAACGACGCATCACTACTTCAAACTAAAATGTCACAAGAGTAACAAGATTATTTTGGAAACATTCTTAAGCCAGCTTTTGACCACTTGCTGCCGGGTAGATTTTTCCTGAGCAAGACAAAATGCCGGCTCATTTTCAAGATTTTCCGTATTCAAAATTCTTCAAAAATTCATCATTTCATTTAATGGCCGTTTATACCCACAGGAAGGACTCTTTGGGCACTATTCTAAAGCTGACAGGTAAAATTCATTGACTCCTGAATATTTCAGCCAGGCCTGCAGCCTTGGAAAAAGAGCCCAGATTGTGCGGTATTACGTAAGATTCTTTAGTTCCTGAAACCCGCACAGTGCACAGCTGACCTCTTTTCAATAGGGGCCAGATTAGCGTGCAGTGGCGCTGTGTGGCTCATCGCTGCGATGGTGGAGAGCTTTTGTCCCTGGTGGTAATTCGCTCACTCTAAATGCCTCAAACAGTGGTATACTGTTTGAAAACAAGGCTGGATTTTCTCCAATATCGAGAGCGAAAAAATGTCGGTAATGCCCAGCAGCTCAGTCTTTTGCGCTGAGCATGGTCTTTTGTTATAAGGCCCAACTCTTTTGTCCCAGTTCCGGGCTCCCCAGCTCTGCATATAAAGCCTATGTACTCGAAAACGGGTCGCCCGGCAGGAAGTGGTTAAGCTTGAAAAATCTTTCATTTTGATTCAATAATGTCATAAAACTGGTTTCAACACAATAATGACTGTACTTCTAACGGCTCATTCTGCATACCGTGATGCTTAACAGTGCCTTTAATATTAATAACCTTGCAGTAAGAGTAAGCGATCTTTGAAACTTGGAAGTAAATTTTCTAAAGTATGTTTGTGAAATACCACAGAGAAAAAGAAAGCTTTGAAAATGCATTTTGCAGCTGGTGCTCTGGTATAAAGTCATTTATGATAGCACTTCTCACTGTGGACTGGTTTATTTCTATCCTGTCAAGTTCGCTGCTGCTCACAGTAAGTTCACCACCATGCCTACCTCAAACAGTTTTTTCCGTGGTAATGGATATTCACTGATCACCACTGCTTGGTTGTAGCTCGCTGTCCGTCTGGCCCTCAGGTTGCTATCAGACAGACAAATGTTCTTGCCATGTTTATGGAAATGTATCCGGTTGGGATTGCTACATGTGGGTTCTCCCTGCTGAACGTAAAAAGGGAACTTCTGATGAAAAATGTATTACTACATATTACTCATGGAAGATAAAATTGAATACCACATATGAACTGGCAAACATTAAAACCCAATAACTAGAGGAAGTATATCAGGAAGTATATCGATTGTATGAAATATTTTAAATATAGCATGCAAATAAAGCACGCTAAATTTATCAATAGCACACAATTTATTAAACAGTACTCATCAAATATCAGATAACAAGGACAAACCAAACATTGATATAGAAACATTTTTTCTTATTGACGATTTTAAACGAAAAGTGGTTTTTGCCAAACCTGCAAAATATGAGGTGTATTTGGAGAATTTGTGGTTTTGAAGCAATTCTACAGAAGGGCAAGACAGTGAAATGCTGGGACTGTTATCTAACCTCTCTGTCGGAATCCTCTCCGCTACTTGATGAGATGGAAGGAGCTCTCTGGCTCTCCAAGGATGTCGTGGAAGAACTTGTAACACTTACAGCTTCTACAACTCCATACACATCAACAACAGCATGTGTACTCTGAAAGAAATCACCACCAATGCACGACGGTATCAGCAAGCTACATATCAAGTGGAACACTTTGCAAGAAACAGGGACATGTTGAGATGGTCCCTGAATTGAAGAGAATAACCCAGCCTGAATGTTTCAAGCACAGATGTGTCAGAAATAATCAGGAGCATCAGTGTTTGAATGACCTCTGACATAAAGGTCAACTCATTTCCATATCTTCAGCACAGGGACTGTATTCCACATGTACACTTACTCAAGACTGTGTTTGCAAGGTCCACAACAACCAATAAGACTTCAGAAGTTTGGGAGGAGTTGCCTGTCCACAAGTGCAACATATGGACAGGTAATCAGTCTAGGGTCCACTGTACCTTTGGTATATCTCTTGCTGCTGTTCCTAGATCGTCACCATTCAGGAAGACATGCATGGTACCATCGGGACAACGTTTGACGCCAACGGTATCCCCTACCTGTCACAAGACAATTATGAAGCATTTCAAAACATGATCCTGGCTTTGAAAAAGCCAAGCTTGAATGAGAAAAATTCCCCCAAAATGACATCAAACATGCCTAAGCCACATAAGATATTTAGCATTGAGTATTTAACTAACCCCTAGCCTTTCCAACGTGGACGAGAAATTATCCTTGATGATCTTTCCGTTGTGTTTGACCTGTGACCCTTGGATGACCCACGTGTCCTTTGACCTCAATGAGGCAGCAGTAATGGGTAAAGCCACCTGACCGTCTGTGATGTCATCAGGGTTCAGTGTTGTTAAACCGATGAGAAGGGTACCGGACCACTGGCTGGCGACCTTGTCAACTTTGACCTGAGGTTGCGGATACATTTCAAATTTACATACATAAGCATTTCCAGATATGTTAATAAAGCAAAATGCAAATTTTTCAGTTTTGCTACACAAAATCCGTTATAATTTGTTTTAAACTTTCTAGCATAACATCAACTTCAACTTCTTATATAAGCAAGACCACAGCAAACCTACCATCACGTAGCTTGATTAGTTTCACATACCTCAAAGAGTTCATCAGTTCTGAGCGCTTTATCGCTGAAGACGATGGCATTATCAAATGTCCTGATCCGACAAGCTGAGGCAAAGTCTTCCGTTAACTGAATGCTGGAGCCACACACCGTATGGAATTTATGCATCAAGCCAGGAACTACCAAGTACAAGACAATGAGTTCGATCAACAAAATCCTTCCATTTTTCCCAAACACAAACAAGAATCAAAAGTGATTCTTTTTTTACTCCATTGCATGCTGCGTTTGAGTTGGCACTGTAAAAGACAAATTGTTGAGAGTATATGATGAATGGTAAGGCCTTACCTGTGATGACCGAGTTGTGTGAGTCTTGTCTTGAGGTTACCAACACATTGTTAGGTGTGGAGCTGGGTACCAGGGAAACCTGAGCACACTGACCATACAGATCAATCACGGCGTACACATCTGTAAGGAAACACAAGATGACATTTGTGTTGAATTCAACAGATTGAGAAAGATTTTCTGAGGAATATTGTTTTCTAAACATGTTTACGTTTAACTTAGTTCACATTGTCATCAGGGTATAGCTTGAAGACTGTTGGAAAAAACCAGTGGGTTAATTGTCGGGTTATCTGAAATACCTGACAAGAAGCGAGGTAAGCGACTACGCTTGTTGTTGGGGCAGCCACTGGCATAACTGCTAGAATGGCCACATGGGTAGCCAATAAACTAACCAGCTCCATTAGCCATTGGAAAGACTACAAGGTAAGGCACTATGCGGTTTGAGTCATCGCCAGTGGGACAACCACAGGGCTAGGCACT